TTTTGCTTTAAAAACTCAAGAAGGCTGATAATTACATTAATCCTTATCAGGTCATCTCCTTACCACGTCCGTATAACTTGTGTCATCTTCCAAGTTCTTACAACTGTGATAGTCACTGAGGAAGATGATACATCCTGTGCAGTGAGTCCTCTGTTACAGATAGAGTTTAATAAGTTCATCACTGACAGCTGATGGAGTTAACACACCGAGGTCTGTAAACAGTAACGTAATTAGTGATGGTGATGTGTAGTCAATCCAGGGATGCTCCTCTGTTAGATTCTGACTTGTTTTCAGAGTGTCTGCTTTGTACTAGAAGGAAACAGAGACCATTAGTTATTACACAACTGGAAGTTAAAACCTCTTTTGGGCAAGAGCGGTGCTATAGTCTCAAGCAGATGTTTGTGGTAAAACTGAAGGAAGTCAATTGCGTTAAAATGAGGCATAGGCTGGTGCCAGCTTGGTCTCAGCTGTTTTGTCTTCTGTATAAAGTACAATTTGTAGTTCTGAACTGTATTGATTTAACTGTTTCTTGCCCTCAGCTGCTCCTGTGTCCCAAATGAACCACTTCAGGAACTAAATGTTAGTGTTACGATAAATTATGGCTGTTTGACATGTGACTGTAACATGGAGCAACTCCGTATTACGTAAAGTAAGCTAGAGTAGAGAGATGCAGATAAATGAAGACATGCTTAGACGAAAATTATTCATAGACACGTAAGCGTGCATCCTAGCTGGCTAAGAAGTAATCTGAATTTCTCTTACCTTAAACTTATCTGGGACGTCCTGCTGATTTAGAGGGAAGAGTCTTACAAACTTGAAACTTTCTGCTACCACATAAAATGGCTTATTCTGAGCTTTGGCACACACAGCAATTTGGTTAGTGCCAATCTGGGGAGACAGATGGAAAACAACACGCAGACTCAGTGCTAGTGTGACACAATATTGCCCAGTTTCCAATAATAAATAGACTTCTACCGGATAATGTCCAAATAGAAAAGATTTTTCAGAAAGCTTTGAATTCTTCAAAGAAACCAAACTTTCACAGTCTAGAGTTTACAGAATGATGTGATAAACTCACTACCTATTACCTTGTTAATAATGCCTCCGCTTTCAACTACACCTTCAGCACCAACTAACACCAGGTCCACTTTCTCCATAATGTAGCTGTTCAAAGGGGGAAAAAAATCCAAGTCTTACTGGGTAATATGACAAATGACTCGCTGAACAGAACAGAAATTAGTAATTCAAACAGTCTTTCACTTTCCTGAACTAGTTTCATCTACCTTTGTAAGTCCATGTGCTGTTACGCATCCTTGGAGTGAGCTTTCACCTGCTTCCCTGGCAGGAATGTTAACTAACCATCTCTTCTCCAGCCATACCTGACCTTGGCAATTGTGTAAATGCTGGGAGAAGTTGAAATCTGACTAGGAATGATATGCAGTTACAGGAACACGGGTGTCTGTGATAAGATACTACCTACACAGTGAAGTGTAACTGCACCGTGATAACCTTGGCCAAATACATAGGATATTCCGCATCTAATCCCCCTTTCTTTACATCCCTCCAATGTGTTTTGTGGATTGAAAATACAGATCTAAAAAGAAAACCATCAACTAAGTGGTTTGAATAGATTTAAGGTGTTAAACAGAACTCGTAGACTGGTCCATTCAAGCTGCTATCTTCCCTAGATTAGAGGTGCCTTGGGAAGCAGACTGGTATGTATTCTCTTGGAGGCACTCTCAGGCATCTTCCACTTATGCAAGAATTGAGGTTCAGATTGATTATAGTTCTTTCTTTTCTCATGTTTTGGACTTATAGTAAGCAGTGTTAATTTAGGAAATAGCTTAAGAAACCCCAAAATGATAACATGTATGCAAATTAGGAAAAAAAGTAGCCTTTTTGCATAACACCTCAGTTTTTTTGGGTGGTGGTTTTTTTTTTTTCAGATATCCTCAAGTTTTACACTTAGGTCTGACTCCATTTTTCATTCTAACATGCAAACATCAAATACTTGTTTTGTAGCAGGCGTATTCTCCTAATTGTGCACCTAAAGGTGTAACTTGTTTAGCTTGTTTGACGACCATGACAAACTAAGTAACAACCTCTGTAGTTTGAACAAGCATCTAGGAAACTCCCATACAACACTATCAAAATAAAATTGTGATGAAGAATATTAAGATTTAATGATCAGGCTTACCCAACTGCAGCATCCAGAATCACAGTCACAGGAATGTTCAGCTTCCTCAAGGCTTTTGCCATTTTTTGCCTATTAAAAAAACAAGTTTGAAGCTTAGAAGTCTTTTCTTTAAAGACAATGCTACAAAAATATAGTCTGAAAGACTGAAACCCATGACTGCCCATGTTCCCTTGCCTGTAGTTTTGGTTTATGATGCACCCTCTCATAGAAAATAAGTTCTCGTGTAGAAATGGAAACAAACAGATTACAACAAACCCAACAAAAGTAAAGTCAGTTTGTTTTAGCAGTTGGGAATTACAGCTACAGAAAGATGAGTCAGTGAACTATTATTAAGATGACAGATTACCTAAACTGTCTCAGCTTTTTCATCAACAGGGTGTAAGAAACCAGAAATAAAGGATTGGGTGCGTTGCTAGAAGTTATTTCAGTGGCTAGAAGTTATTCCGGTGAAGCTGGAAAATCGTATGTACCTTACTTACCATCCTTGATTCTAGTGAAAGACTGGTTAGCAACATGCGTTATCCACTATGTAGGATTTATTACTTCACTTACACAGTGTGTGTATGCTCTGAAGAGGGAAAGCTTGCTCTCTTGCCATCAGTAATACACTTTATTTGGATTTTCAAACACCGTTGTTAGCTAAATGGTTTACTTTGCTACGCTTAATATAATACTGATTATTTTAACCTACTTTTGAAACAGACGACTAGAAATCAATTGTCTCCCATTGCCCCAGGATAATGTAGGTTGCCTGGCACTGACTGAACGTTTGTAAACCTTTGAGGAAAACGTAGGTAACACTGTTACTAGAATATTTAGTATTCGAAATTACTTGCTAATATTAGAGGGTTTTTTACTTGTCCAGAATAACGTGATATTATTAGTGACAGTTACCATTTAAAATGTGGCAAACAGGCCTAGCAGCTTTTCTTAAGGTATGACAGATTTGATGCTAGCTGTAACTTACCCTGTTAACCAAGATAAAACACAAATTAATGAGTACTTGCCCTGCTTGGTCTGGCTGTGATTCAGTAACATAAACACTGAATCGCTTCTTTGACTCAACAGCTGCTTCTAACACTCTGAGGACCACTCTCGAGTAGGCATGTGTCAATATTCGCTGTCAAAAAAAAATAATCAGACATTACTTTTTGCTGAGCTTTGGGAAACCTTTACTTTTGTTAAAGGTGTCATGGCTTTTACTTCACACAACTGTCCATTGATGTTAAATAATAATGTATGTCACTTGTATTCTACAAACCAGAGGATAGCTGGACTTTATGTGGCCCACCATGATGTGGCCAAGGGGTGATGATCTAGTACTTTAGATGGAAACTTGAAGTCGTGACCCCTCAGCACCTCTAGAATTAGACCACAAGTCGAAGTTGGATTGCATGGAAACCGAAACAGGGGGGAAGATGAGTCGTAACAAAATAAAGCGATGGGTGATATTACGCCTATGTACTTGCAGAAGCCACCAGCAGACAATGCCGTTGTGAATGTTAATAAACTTCCCTCCCCTTCTGTTTTTCCATTACTGCAAGCAGCAGAGGAAGAGAACAAGAGTGACCCTGCCTCGGCCTACTTACAGCACCATCTCTGATGAAAGGATGACACAGCTTGGCAATTTTGTTCCTCGAGAGAGAGACTTTCCTCAGGAAGATCTCCCCACGCTCGATCATGATTTCTTTGCACTTGGAGTAGTCCTGGAAAACACAGCAACGTCTGCTGTGAGGCTGTAGGGTCCCCCAGCAGGCACCGTGCTGAGCAAGGGGCAGCCGCCCTTACCGAGTACTCCAGGGAGGTGAGGCTGATGAAGCGCAGGAAGAGCTCCCCGCCGGAGGAGACGGCCACCGAGGAGTCCACCCGAGACAGGGTGTCGATGGCGGCCAGCAGGCTGCTCCTCAGGCCCTGGATGGTCTCCCCTGCGGGGAGGCAGAGGTGCACGGTCAGGGCTGGGCTGGGCCTCACCGACACGGGCCTCGCCGTGGGGAGAGCCGGGGCAGAGGGGGTACCCCCTCCCTCCCGGGGCTGGGGGGGGACCTGGGCCCACCTCGGGCCTGCTTCAGGAAGCCCAGCAG